ACCTATTGATGTTTGGGCTACGCCCATGTCGTAGGAACCCTTACTCGCCATGTGCTGGGAGTATCCGTGGGCGAAGATATGAAGAGTTTAAGGAAACAATGTACCATCAAAAAAAAAATTTGCCAGCTAATCAGCTAATTTTTTTTTTTTTTTTGCTTTTCTCAACCACAGTTGATCTCTAAGTTAGAATCGGTCTTGCCTGGTATATCTCCCCGGACGACATAGGAGGGGTACGCTGTGAATCTCCAAGTATCGCTAGGTGGTATGAAGGGCGGTCCAGAAATATTTTAGAGACCCCTGTTAACCATAACCTGTTACCTGCAGGAGAATGTGTGTCAATTCATGGGAAGGTCGAGTCCGCTGTCGCAGTATGAGGTGGGTTAAAAACGGCAGCGATGATCCAAGAAGAGCCAAAGCACTCGGAAGTCCCAACCTCTTTATAAATTCTGTTGTATTTCGCACCACACATGTTGCGGTCAATTAGAATGGATTGGGGGGGGGCACGAGAGTGAGCTTGAAGGAGCTGGACCCAAGTGGGAAAGGGTGAAAAGGGATATATTAGAGAGATTACCAAGAAAGCTACCCCGCAATAGGAGATCATGAATAACTAACCTGATATTAGAATGGCGTTCTGCGCTCGAGTATGAGTACTGCCCTTCCGCTAAATGAACCCCCCAGACCTGTGGACTCTAGGGGAAATTTTCTAGCCTCACCCCTAAGGACGGGAAGCCCAGAGAGGTATTTTAGGAGGCTGGAGGGGATCTATAGAGATATCTGACAGGCCTTAGCCAGTGCTCATCTCATGGGAGCCGGCTGAAACACACATCGCTGGGCAGTAAGAAGCGCTTCTCTGAGGAGCAAAAGTGTGGCTTTCTCCATATTGTCTCTAATCGTGCATGATCAACTACAAAAGAGTTCCTACTATATTCATTAGTTATGTGATAGGTGAAAAGGATCGACATAGCACGAGAGGCAAGTAGGGAAGTTGCAAAATACGGGGGTGTTCCTGTCCTGGTAACCTCTATCTAATTCTGGGATATTTCGGATGGAGAAGGAATGTCACTCATAAAAACTGGAAATAACGGTTGGGACATTCTCGGCTTCGTACGCCCTCGTTAGGAGATTTTTTAGAGCTCTGTCGTCGCACAGAACGGAGACTCGAAGAATTTCTCGAGATTTAAGTGTTTGAGGGCCTCCATTGTAGCAGGTGGACTCGCAAGTGCCGTGGTGGCCTTGACTGACTAAGCAAATCAACGCGTTGCAATACTTGAGTACTAGTATTGTCCCCTGAAAATTGTAATAAGTTAATTGAGGATTGGGCTAGAACGTCCAGAATATGCCCCTTTGGGTTAAGGGGAATAAACAGGGAGGATGTTCTCTTTCGATCCTCGATCGAGATAAATAAAAAGGGGAAGACACAATAGACTTTATTGTACGAGTACAGTGCTCGAGTATGATACTAGGAGGGGCAACTCCCGCACCCTAGCTAGATTCCCAATTATTGTTCCAGTTTTCATGGAACTCTTGGAACAGGCGATAGCTTGCCCTCGTTTCCAGCAGCGAGCATTACTACCTCGTCTGTTACGCTGCTATCGTCAGCGTACTGGTATTGTAGAGGGACCACACTGCTCGAGTAACTTGCGGTCTTTACGGTTGCTACTACGAGACAGGCCTTGTGACGAACAGGGATTAGACCATCAGACAAGTACGGTACCCGAGTACTTGCTGGGGTACCGAGAATGATAGTGTACTGTACTAGTACTGTACTCGTACATCGTACTCAAGCAGCGAGAACCACCGCCTCGCTCGGATGAGCCAGCCGTTTTCATTCGGGCTATGATTGTACAATATCGTACCATATCTCCACCAGGGAAGTGTTGGTTCTCGTTACCATACCGTTCTCGGCACCCTATCAGGTATGGGGGATCAACTAGTGTAGGTTCAATTAACAGAAGCCTGTTTTTCTTCACCGCCACTTGGAAGTACTGTTGGGTGCTAGATTGTGCTTTTGCACTGGCATGGGCTGTGATTCCCTGGGTCGAGCCAGCTAGGAGTATGGGCTCAGAAGTGAGAGAGAAAAAACGAGTTAATTCCCTCCCAGAACTGGTAATTCCTTGTGAGCAGTACTGTACTCTGTATTCCTGGGCTGGGGGTATCCCCTAGTAACACGCATTTAGTAGACGTATCCAAAGTTTAAAACATGATTTTTCAGTAACAAGTAAATGCGTGGAGTTTTAGATTACAGTCGCACCTCGCTCTCCCGGATTGCGCAGAACCGGATACCTTGCTGAACCGTAAAGAATTACCAGCACCTCGGAATTCCCCTATAATTCCACTGGTTGAGCCTGAAAACAGGGGGTTCCGGATTGGTATGGTATTCGAGAATATCCACCCCTGGTACCTGTACAGTAGCACCCAGCTGTCCCCGACCTCCCTCTCCCGGATCCCCCGTTGTCCCGGATGAAATTCTCTAAGCTCTAAATTTTTTTGAACCAGAAGGTACCCCGTTGTCCCGGATAATTCGATGTCCCGGACAGATTCTGCGGATTTTGGTCATCATTATAATATTTTATTTCTTAGGTATCATAGTTGCTAAGGCTAAGATATCAGTAACAAGTACGGTACACTATATAGGTCAGCGTATCAGAAGTCTATCGAAATATAATAATAGATTAAGCAAATTTTTTTAAAAAGAGAACAGAAACAAAATCCTAAAATATCATACTATTTTTTAGATTCTTTCTCTATGAGTATCATAGTAAAAATATTTTGTGCTTGGCTTTTTGTTAACAAGCAGTGTTTTTGCAATATCAGTGAGATTAGTTTTAAAATATCACTTTACCTTTAGTTAGTACAGTACCTTGGTATGTGGATACTAAAGAGGCATTTTTAAAACTTTGAATGTCCCCAACTTACTTTGTGTTCGTGGACGTACGCTACCATTATGCTACTCGAGTATGATACCTTAGCTCCCTCCTATTATGGGTTACTGTGGGTAGTCTACGGGATTCCGATTTCGATCATTCAAAAAAAAAAAACATCCAGTATCAAGATTGCAAGATAATCCCACACTCACTTAGAAACCAACCCCAGCTCCAGGTCGGATATGAGACCGATCTTCGGAAGTGGTACTCTCCGAGAGAGCTTTTTTGCTGGTTGGCTACAAGAGAACGCCCACCACGCTGAAGACAAGGACAGGGGGTATTTCATGCATGGCACGCGACGATTCGACTTAATTTTTCTTTTTTTCTTTCTTTTTACCCTTTTTCGACCAAGTGTCCAAAACAACGTTCTCTGAAACCAGTAAGCAAGCGATCACCCGAACAGATCCTCTTGTTCAATTGCGTTTGCTTAATACGGTAATATCACACATGTAAACTTAGCGCCTTGGCATATTTGTACCGGTGCTGTATGTCTGTTCACTGTTCCGAAGATACCCACTTTAAGTTACCGTTCTCAACCAGTACTCACCCGGTCAAAAAATAGAGTCTCTACAATTAAAGAGGAGTCCGTTCTCAGCAGTTCTATAGAAAGTCTGCCACAAGATGGTTGGTTGTTTCTGGGGTAGCTTCGCTCTTGGTTTTTGTTGGTGGAAGGAACCGTACCGGTATTGAGGGGGTTGGGGAAAGTAAGCGATCACACCAAACGATTGAGGCGATGAAATATAGTGGGCAAAAAATCATGCCCTCAAAAATTGTTGTCCAATCAATTTGCAGGGCGTGATTATTACTCCTGAAGTTAGACGGGTTTGCAGAAGTTAATGACCTGGTTACTCTAGTACCGTAGGGAAGTCCTCACCCTCTTTGACATTCTTCCCCCATTTCCCCCGGCTCAGATGGCGAAACCCATATTGCGGGGATACGCTTCCGGTCCGGCTAAACTAGAGGTACCGGGTATGAAGGATAAGTCTGTCGAACTTCCCCCTCGGGTATTCGTTGTGCCCCTTTGAAGACCGCGTGATGCTTGCAGGGGGGAAGGCACCCAGATGCCCATACTCGCACTGGGACAGAACATGGGTATACAGTCGCACCTGGCTATAACGAACGACAAAAACAAGACCCTTCATGTTCACTATAGCCAGGGATTCATTATAGTAAAGATGACTAAGAAGTCTTGGCCAAAGAGAGTAAAGGAGGGAAAGTTTTTTTTTCAACTGTTTGTACAAGCATCAGCTACAACAGCAGCTCCATAGGCCAAGGCAAGTGAAGAAGAGGTTTGATGATACTAGAGAAGTATGATATCTGTAAAAGGAGAACTGAGTCAAAGGAGAATGAGAAAATGAAATTGGAAGAATTTGCAAAGCTGTTTCCAAGTATGTGAATAACTTAATAAAAAATGCATATGAGATAATGAGATACTTACTGGAATAAAAATAGTTGTAGATCTGGTAACTGGTACTCCACTTTCAAAGTCCACGCTTTCAATGATATTAAACAATAGTTAAAAGCATTTAAATATCGATTTAAATGCGAGCGATAACTGGAAGAAACAAGCCCGAAGGCAACTATTTCCTATCCTGGAGACTCACATAAGTGAGTGGGTTTACCGGGCTCAGCTTACAAGAGTAATTATGATAGACTATGTAATTCTTGCTGTAGCAAGAAAGTTTGTTCAAGAGATGGTGGCACTACAAGATGAGAAGATTAGTGAAGGAGAAGATTATGCAGGATTTGAGTTCTCCTCTGGTTGGCTGGCTGAT